GGCAATGAGTTGTGATTTATGTCAAAAAATGTATGACGTTTTTCGTCATTCGAGGACAAGGGTTTTGTTGAGGCAATGAGTTATGATTTATTTCAAAAAATGTATGACGTTTTTCATCATTCGAGGACAATGGTTTTCTTGAGGCAATGAGTTGTGATTTATTTCAAAAAATATATGACGTTTTTCATCATTCGAAGACAAGGGTTTTCTTGAGGCAGAGGAGGGTATTTTTTGTATTTAAGTCTCCGTTTATAGCTGTGTCCGATTTTCATGACTTCTTGTTTGCTTATGGGAAGTCGATGTTGGAAAGATATTTTTCAAATGTGAGTCATTAGGGGTAGACGTCATAATGTACATCATTCACGAGACTTTGTGGTAACACGTGTTACTTTCGTAAAATTAAAGATCATTTTCTTAATAAAAGGAATTTTCGGGATATGTTTGTTTATACATTCAGAAATTGGCATAGAAATTCTTCTTTGTATTAGATTATTGGTTTGTATTTAATGATGCATGGCGTGAAGTACGTATTTGGGGCTTGGAAAGTCGTCTTGATGAGTATTACAAACGAGAAGCAAGCGCATACAATACGAAAAGTGTGTGTTGGCTGGAAGAAACTTATTTGTGGAATTTGTAGGTTGTTTGATTTGGTCAGTAGTGAGATACTTTTATTTTCTTAAAGATAATCCCTGCTATTTGATAAGGATTTTTTATCTTAGTTATTGTTTAATTCCATTAAAAGAAATTGACATCCGATAGATGTTTCATACATGTATTGGTAGAATAAATACATCTAGACAATACATTTTTTTAGCTGTAAAATGAAAGGGAAAAATATTCACATAAGACATGATAAACACGGGTAATACGTTTGTTACAGTAGGTCTAGACATAATTTATGGTCACTGTTAGATGAAAGAAAAAGCAGAATTTTCAGATCATATCAGTTAATCAGGCATGAAGTGACTTTACGTATTACAAATACGTTATAGATTGTAATGTACATCATGCTATACGTGGTGCATTTCAGTTATAACACTAATTTTTCTTACTGGTGGAACAATGTATAGTGGTCTTCAAGAAAAACTTTCTAATCCATGGATCTTTCTTTTTATTTTACATGTATAAATGTAAAATATGTGGCTAGAAGGAAACAAAAATGCAAAGGTTGACCATATATTCTGTCTGTATCTGTAACACCCAAGATTACAATGTTTGCGTTTGGTACATTTTCTATGTTCACTCCATTCCGAATCCAGTGGGGTACACTATTACACGGTCAGTTTATCATAGTAAATTCCCAGAACCAATGTAGCATTGTTTTCGGAAATATTATTTATTTATTTTTTTTTTTACAGAAAATACATTTATCGGTATCTGACAAAAAATTTTTTTACAAAAATGAATTAATTTGTAAATTATGTGAGTAAAACGAAGTTGAAGCTATTGTAATTGTGAATTTCTTGTTATTGTATGAACTTTAGCATATATGATAGACCACACATCCGCATCCATATTAAAATTCAATTCCATTTATATTCACTTGTTGGTTTAACATAAGTTTTTAACGTGGTTTCTAAAGATCTTTACACATTTTATTATTATACATTTAATCTCCAAATGGACTGGGACACATTTCATTTAATTTGATGTATGATCACTCCGATGGCCTAGTGGTTAGAGCGTCAGCCTCAAATGCGGGAAGTCGGGGGTTGAATCTCGATCGAGTCACGCGAAAGACTTATAAAAGGTGGTACTTAGCTACTTAGCCAGGCTCTCAGCATTAAGAGATTGATGTTAGACTGGTAAACCTGGTGTCAGGATAATGTGACTGAGTGGGACATCATGCTAATTGTTTGCGACACGATGCCCAAGTGCTGGATCAGTATCAACTGCTACAATACAGACATCGTAGTGATATGGCCGAACAATTGTTAAAGCTACGTTAAAAGTCCAAATCTCACAGACGCAATTGGTGTAATTTTGGGCTGGCCAGTATGCGCTTTACTTAAGATGTCTACCTATTAAAAAATTGCCAGCTGCACATGATCCCTTTGATTTCCTTGACTTAACAGTAAATTATAAGTAAGAAAATAACAAAACCACGCTGATTTTACTCATTTTTTGCTTATTTTTCCACGATTTATTTATTGCATTTTTAGAAGCTGGTGTTAACTACTGTGGCAAAATTCATTTTTCCCATTCATTTGTTCAGGTTATTGTACTTTTGACTAGGTTCCAGTTCATTTTTCCAGCATATGTGAGCAGCCATTTCAACAAGCTGTCTGCTTTAATTGTGCACAATTACTAAATATACCGAAATTATCACATTACTAGAAAGCACCATCATACAAATATGTGCAAGCAACCTATCCTACAAATTTTATTCAGTATAACCAAAAACCCAACACATAATTTGGCTCCATCAATGCACCTGCGAAAGGTTTGAGTTGGATCAGCTTGGCTTTTCTCTTTTTCTCTTGGTTGACGGTTATATTAACTGTACTGTTTTAATTGAATGATACTTGTACTTTACAAAGAAGGTGTTATAGTGCAAATTTTACGAGAGTAAATATTAGCCCTCAATGTGCAAATGATGGGATAACTTTGTCATTATGGTGAAAATGGGATGGGATGTTATGTTCAGAAAGTGGAGTGGAAATGCCATAACTAGAACTGTGACGTGTAGCAAAAGGTATTATAAAGTGATAAGTAATTTAGCGTGAAATTAAGGTTTAAAGTTATATCCGTTTCCAGATGCGCTTTGTTCATATCCACTAAAGTATAAAGTGTATAGTATGAGAAGTGCAAGCAGACTTTCCATGACATAACGAGCAGGATCTGTACTGTTTGTATGTTTTTTATTTTTACTATCAGCGTATATGCTAATTTCCCCAGTGCATAATGCAGACACATGTATAGCAGGTTGACAGAAGCAAGTATGAAAGACAGTACAGCGGCTTTGTTCTACCTGGCTGTCGTCAGTGGCCTAGTGGTAGAGCGTCCGTCTTGGACTGGTCAGCCTGGTGTCAGGATAATGTGACTGGGTGGGACGTCATGCTACCTGTCTGCGGCAGGATGCCCCAGTGCAAGACATCACTATAAACTGCCACTCTGCAGACGTCATAGTGATATGACCGAAAAATTGTTGAAGTCACGTTAAAAATGAAAATCATACATTCACACACTTTTATGTAAGCGTGTATATGCGGTACTTTAACCCAATTAATAATAAATGGTACGTTTCCATTATAGTATGAAATGTTGATAGTTTTTATCATCAATTACAAACCCAACAAATTAAATGTGCTTGAAATCAGTGATCGTTTTGATACCGTAATTACAATACAAATCCATCAGTGTGCATAGGCTGGTTACCAAATATACAGGTACCTAGTGGGGTATAATGTTCGTATCAGTTTGATTGAGATTAGGATCTACGCTGTTCGTGTTTAGGTGTATATATACAAAGATGATATATTATCACCTCTGCTTGATGTGATTTGACATGTAGATTTATCTGTACATGTTTTAATATTTCCTGGTTTTATTTACAAAATGTACCTATTTCCCCATCAAAAATGTCAGCCCAAGGGCAAAGAGACGTGTGAAATTTCTTCAGTATGTTGCCCAGTTTGTAAATGATAAAAGTAAAACACGCCATTAAAAAAATGAGGTTTATATATAACCTATGTTTGCACTGAAACGAATGTTCCTATGCCGTTTGGCTTCTTTCATTAGTATTCTTTTTATCTGATGTAGCAGGAACTGTCATATAAAATGAAAGCACATCCCCACTCCCATCCCTCCCTAAAAACGCTTATAACAGCATGATAGAAATTTTCGGCTATATCTCACTGCCTTCATCAGCGACTATTGTTAATTACGCCAACCATCTATATCAGTCTCATATCACATGACTAATTATGTCAGGTGATCAACATTAATCGCAGATAAATGCAGGATGATACGGCCGAAAATTTTACTCTGAGCAGGGGAAATTATTAATGATCACGAAACTGTAAGTCTGGCCCCCACTGGATGCTGTACCCAGGTGGTGGGTGGGGATGGTAGATTAGCGGCTGGAGGCAGGAGGCTTGAACGTAAGGATGCTTGGGGGAAGGGGTTACCGTTCCCCTAAGGGTGCTTCTTAGACCGGTTTGGCTTTGCCTGCTGGCATAATATTGAGATTTAAATGGAACATGATACATAAAAGATCCCACTGGGTTGCTTGCATTTTTTCAGTTCCTAATTATGTCAGACAACACCGTAGTGAGGACTTGCCTCACAAACTTGGGGCGCCTAATAACCCGACTTCTGTGTGCTCGTTTGGCAGTTTCTTCGCTTGTGCTACTAGCTTCTGGTCGACGTACAAATCAGACACATTCCCAGCAGACTATATACCCTAGCCGACGCTTTCGCCATAAAGGATCAGGTTATTCTTACGGAATGATTTCTTCATCGGGTTTATATTAGATTTGTACGCTTTGCGGATATCGAATGATCGAACGTTTGCGGCTTAGTGGAACTGCAAGTTGCCCACGTTTTGTCTTATAAGTTCCGGACCCAGAAGTTTGGGCTGTGGGCGCCCTCCAGCGGCAGAAAATATACAGGAAATAAAGGGTCTGAATGGTGCAAGTCCCGGGTCAAGGATCCACTCGAACTAGCTGTCACACCGAGATAAATTCGAATCCTATGTCCGGACCTTACTGAAACTGGTTCCTAATAGGTATGCAGAGTAAGCGAGTTGCACCCTGTTCAGTCGACTATGTATTTGTGTGTTATGTGTGAATTAAACATTTAACGTAGCTTTAACAATTTTTTTAATCATATCGTTACGATGTATGTAGTGATGTCTGGAACTGAGATATCATGCCGCCGACATGTATCATCATGTCCCACTCAGTCGCATTATCCTGACACCAGGTCCTAACACTAGCCTGCTAATGCTGAGCGCCAATCGAGGCAGCTACTAGTGCCATTTTTTAAAAATAAATCTTTGGTATGACCGCCTGGATTTGAACTCGTGACCTTCAGCATCCGAGGCTGACGCTCTAACCACTTAGACCATCGAAGCGGTCTCATTTCAGTCGGCTCATACTATCTTCAGTTCAGATCGGACATTTGGGTAATTGTATTAACTTAGCTGGGCTTTGTAGCCAAGAACGGTTACTTAAGCATTGACCCTGTATCTTGGGATGATCGCAACCAGGATCGCTCCACTTTGCGGTGACCCTCAATTCTGGTGGTACAGAATTTGAACAGAAGGGAGTTGCAGGGGCAGTGCAGAGGCAGGAGTAGCGGAAAGCTCGGAACTGCAGAATGGCCTTTATCGGTCAAGCAAACCCAATTGGCATCACCTGTTAAGAATGTCACAGACACTTCAGAGCGTGATGGCCATCTTCGAAGACGAAGGAAGAACAACACTGTCAGTGGGCAGTCAGAATCGTTGTATGCTCCATTTTGTCTATAGATAATTGGAGAACAGCGACCATGCCAGCTCATGTCGGCGTTCTCAAACGATTCTTTCTTTCAGTGAAGGCGGGAAAACAGAAAATCACCTCATAGTCCCTGTTTTCGTGGCTTAAGTGCTATCTACAAGGCGTGCTCTGGCATCTGAGACGATCAGATTTGCTTCATGGGGATTTCAGGTCACGAAATTAAGCAATCTCTGCGGATGCAACTTTTTGAGCAGAGAAATTATAGAATCTGTTGGTTGGCATGTACAGTCAACCTTCTGAAATTTTATCTTAAGGATTTAGCTTCGTAGAGACAACAAATAATGTGATGGGCCATACGGCTGAGGCACAGACGACTACTGAACCCAGTTAAACCATCACAGCCTCCTTGCCTTGTTAGATTCGTCAGTGAATTTTAACGGTAAAATATGACAGTATTCATCTTCTTAACCAGAAAAAAAAAAAAAACGGTCACGGATCACGTGACGATAAGCTGACCTGCCGTAAACAGTATAGCGGGTTATCTTTCACATATAAAATCCAATCTTTCTTTTCTAGAAGGATACCGGTTATATAATTAAGATGCTTAACATTCTCTCCTATTATTTATTCGTTAAATGCGAGTGGGTAAAGTTTTCAAAAGAGAAAGTAAATTTATGTTGTATAATTATCCGATCGCATTGCTTCAGACTCAAATTTTCCTTCGCCACATCAGCTTTTGCGAGCATTCTTTGTGGTAGCTAGTTGAGCTTAAAATCTTAGCGAGACCTATCGGTGACAGGAAAGGTAAAATGGGCAATAGTCATTCCTATTTGGCTATTTGGTATAGACAGAAAAGACGATGGGTGGTCTTTTAGCATTACTGGATTGGGGATGTAGCATGATTTTATTCCTAATACTATTCATATCGGGGTGAAAACTATTAGAGAAATTATTTAATATAAATATATGTTTTATAATCCACCTTTGATCTTTGAATAGATGTTAATGTCATCAAGAGCTTGAACTGTTATAAGAACAACATATATGCATATACTACAACTTTGGAGGCAGTATTTCTGATCCAGTTTTGAAAACTGAGCTTATTTTGCCAATGAATGAAATAAGAGTGATATTCAAGCTGAGTAATGAATTTTTTTGCATCTGATTGGTTAAGTTTGTTGTAGGCTATGTTTCTGATTGGTTAAGTTTATTGTAGACTATGCTTCTGATTAGTTATGTTTGTTGTGGGCTATGCTTTTGATTGGTCAAGTTTGTTGTAGACTATGCTTCTGATAAGTTATGTTTGTTGTGGGCTGTGCTTTTGATTAGTTATGTTTGTTGTGGGCTATGCTTTTGATTAGTTATGTTTGTTATGGGCTATGCTTTTGATTAGTTATGTTTGTTGTGGGCTATGCTTTTGATTAGTTATGTTTGTTGTGGGCTATGCTTTTGATTAGTTATGTTTGTTGTGGGCTATGCTTTTGATTAGTTATGTTTGTTGTGGGCTGTTGTGGGCTATGATCAGATTGTGTTTGAACTTGGACCATGATTATAGAAAAGCTAGAAAATTATATTCATTACGTCATCTGGTATTTGATAGGCTATGTTTATTGTAGCTCTTGCAAAATCTAATCTAGTCAGAAAGAATGTAAAGACTTCTTTTTAGCCAAAGTTAGACGAAACGTGCGTCACAGCATGAAAACGTCTCAGATTTGCACAATTGATACACAGGAACTCATTCAACAGAATGTGACAAATCTAAAAAACCCACCACCACCACCCCACCCAAAAAATTAACAAAACATCCTGGCGTAAAGGCTTTTAAAATGATGCTAATCCAATTAAATATGGCTGCTGTTATAGTTCTATAAGAGAATAAAGCATACAAATGACTTCCCAAAAGCCACCCAATTGACTTAAACCAAAGTTGACAGAAGGTATGAAGGTCTCTCCAGTTGCTGCACCTTATCCAGGTCTTACATGGAATATAGCCACGGTTAGTAAAACTAGAAAATCCATCAAATAATTATACTAGCAGTAGTAATATACTTGCATGCGACGTTATCCAAATAAACGAGACCAGGCCAATTGGGACTTGTAGGGGTGGGGTGGGGGTGGCTTAGGCACCAATTGTTTAAAATTTCAGAATATTTCATGCTTTCGCATAATGTATCCAAATATTATGCAAATGGCGTTGACCCAAATAATGTCTACGCTATTTATTCAATGTATTATTTCAAACGACAAGTATATACCCTGATTAGCAAATGTATTGTGCTATTGCACACATGCGTGTTTGCTTACAAATTGGTGCGTATTATGCGGAGTTCATGGGGAAAAGGTAATGCATTCATATGTGCATCTTCGCTGCCCAATGTTCCCATGTGTTTACCCTTTCGACCGCTTGTCAAGCGAAGATGACATAAGTGATAAAGAGACAATTGATCGACTTGTATTCATCGCCCCAGTTCTCTTCAACTTGTCCCAGTACGTTCTAGATTTTAAAACTGTAGGCTCAGTAATAGTGGAATTTTCAGTATGTAACGTTTTCAGGTACATACACGTTGGAGACGTGCTTTATGTTTTGCATTTGCGTGTTAGATCACGACCGGATATTTTTGTTAAAATCATTTAAAGATTTGATTGGCACAAAGTAAGATGCAAACATTATCGAGCTGACTGCTTGTTGTAACAAGGGAATGAGCAAAATCACAAATAAAATAAGAACATAACGTTCTTGTAGTGTGGGAGAGAATGAATTGTATTTTGTACTGGATTGTTAGTGTTATATCTAAAACAAATTATCGGAGGCGTCCAAATATAGCAAATTTTATTGACCTGTTGTTAAGTACTGATAACAAGATTCTACGAAAAATGTTAGCAATCTATTCTTAGATATTTTGAACTTCACACGAACAGAAGTATGCATCATAATTTTTTTAATGAATTTATTAAACATTGATAGCATTGATTTTACTTATATATTGTTACATTGTTTGTTTTAGCGGTTTGATTAATGTACTCATTTTTTCTCATTTTAATTTGATTGCATTTTGTCTTGCAAATTTTCTTCTTTTTTTCCTCCAAATTATTAGCTCATCTCCAGTAATTAATATAACTTCAGGAATGACAATGAGTCGTATTTCGACACACACGTCTGTCTAAAGTTTTGATTACTGTGGTCATACTATCAAATTTTTAATTACAACGTGATTTGAAGATTATATTGTGTATTGTGTAATAATATCTAGGAGTACATCACACACACACACACACACACACACACAGTACGACGTCACTTCGGTCGCGATAAGTTTCCATAAAGTCCAACTCTACCGGCCCTTTTCCCTTTTTTGTATTATATCGTCCACTTCAATATATTTTTAAGAAGCATTATACTACACCACAATAATATATCATTCAATTTTTCTTTGACAGGATCGCCAATTTTTTATTGGGGGGGGGTCTGTCGTAAACATATACGTTACTCCATCACAATTACGCATGTTTGTGGTAGCCATTAAGTAAAAAAAAAAAAAAAAAAACCTTTGGCATCAAAACTGGGGGTCAAATTAAAATTTGGGGAATCCGAAACACAAATGAGGGTAAAGAAAAACCCTGATGTAATGTTCCGACTTGGATGGTTTCATCAGTTGTCATGGTCAGGGGTTGAGCTTACCCACCCATATCTTAAAAAATTTTGATTTCAAATTAACTTTTTTTTATTGTTGTTCTAACATTACTGATGGTCAGCCAGCATCCGCCTGTACAGATGGAAGTGTGCTTACAAATTTGATTTAGTGAACTAATGTTTATTTCATTTAGTTAGGTTATTAATGTTGGGGGGGGGGGCTTAATTCAAACAGAACATTTTCAAACAGAAATTTAAAATGAATTCGTAGTGTTAACTAGAATTTATCTGGAAGAAAGTGGATATGTATCGCAAAACAAGCATTTTTAGATTCTTCCAATATAATTGTAAAAGGAAATGGTTCTGTGAAAGTTTTTATTGATCTTTTTTTTTTTGTTTAGTTCCAAAAACTTTGTATTTAATCTGAAAGAGAGCTATTCCAAAATAATTTACGTGAATGCTCTTTCTTTTCCATTGATACGATCGAATGTTTAAACTTTTAAATATTTGCCAAATGGATGTCTTATCCAGATTTTAGCCACAGTGAATGAATGAATCAGTTATTTCAGTGCCACGTCAAAGAACTGTTCTAAGTCTTATCAGTTGTTGGCTCTTAAAGGCATCAACACAATATATACAGCAGTATCATGCTGAAGAAATGTGAACTAATCGCATTTCCCAAGGACACAGAGGTCGTCAACCCGGGCTGGTCTAGGCGGGTATTGAACCCACGACCTTTCCGTTACTTCCTGAGCTGCCTTGGCTCCCTGATTTTTATCAGTTGTGACACACAGTAGTAAAAGACTCGTTATCAGGCGATAAAGTACAAAAGCAGTACCGATTTACGAGTATAAAAGCAGTACAGATGTACCAGTAAAAAAAATATATAGCATGAACCCAGATACAAAATTATTTGAGACCTCACCAGTGGCTTAGTGGTTAGAGCGTCCGCCTCGGATGCGAGTGGTTATTGGTTCGAACCGCGGCCGAGTTATACCAAAGACATAAAAACGGTACTTCCTGCATCCTCGCTTGGTGCTCAGCATTAAGAGGTTGGTGTTAGGACTAATCGACCTGGTGTCAGGATAATGTGACTGGGTGGTACATCATGCTACAAGTCTGCGACATGATGCTTCAGTGTTAGACATCACTATAAACTGCTACACTGCAGACATCGTAACGATATGACTGAAAAATTGTTAAAGCTACGTTAAAAATATAAATCACACACACACACTTATTTACAAGAACAAAATCATATTGAACTTTTGGATAGTATACCGCGTGCGTGTTGTATGATCTTTATAAAAACTAAAACTATTAATTTTTTTAAATAAACAGCAACGAATTGCATGTAATTCATAGTGCACGGACAGATAACAATGCATGAAGCAAGGTTCACCAGTCATGGACCATTTTATTATTGCGTCAAAAGCATTAATAGTTGTTGTGGGGCTTAACGCCATTTTTCAGCACATGATTGGCTACATGGCGGCCAGTAGCAGTGGTGGAGGAAGAAACCGGGAAATCCGCGGAAAAAACCACCGACCCACGATAAGCTACTGGCAAGCTTTCTCACCTATCCAAATTCGCCGAATCTTATACTCGAACCCCCGTTACCTAGGTGAGATTGCAGTGATCCGTAACGGAGAGCGCTTTAGACCACTCGGGGCCCCCAAAGCATTGGGAGATAATATTAACAATTATCCTAATGTAAATGTTACACGTGCGCATGTCCTTGTCATAGCATAGATGTTATAAACTTTCCAGACGAAAACCCAATGCATTTTTTCACGAATGAGCGTCGCCTGACCTTGTCTGGTCAACGCAAATACTATAACCAGTTAACTTACCCTTACGTTAACCTTGATGGCGTTATCCCTCTGTGGTCTAAAGCGCCTTCACCAATCACTTCCATCTCACATATTTCACCATGGGTTCGAGTCTCGGATCGGGCAATGTGGATATGTGAGCAAGTTTGCCATAAGCTAGCTTCCCATGGATCGGTTGTTCTTGCCGAGGTTTTCTTGGGTTCTTCCTCCACCACAGAAGTAAATCACTAAAAAAAATGACATTTTTAAAAATCCAGGTCTGATTTGACCGGTTTGGCTTTTGTCATCTATTCTTCAAGATGCCATATGTATCCTTTGTCATCTACCACCCATTTTGATGGATACCTATAATTGGTCTTATTGTCGTGTGTTACTATAGGATTCATAGGACACACAAATACCATGTAATGGCATTATTCAAAATAAAGCTAAATTCACAAAAACCAGTGCGGAGTACAGTACCAAGCCCAGCTACGTAATTGCCTGCTAGGCAACTCTAATCTTGTTTTAGTAAGGGTTAGAGATAGGGAATTTTAATTTGAATTTGTGCCTTATCCAAGGGCATGAACTGGTCCAGACTCAGTTAGCCATGGGAAGATAAAGAACAGAACAACCTGCTGACAGTCTCTGGTATCAAATATTAAGAATGCACGGATTAATGTCCTGGCCAACTGTCATTGCTAACATTGGAATTCGATACAGGCAATGTGAGTGAAATCATACTGATAACATCGTGATAATGAATTTTTGCATCAGCCTTACATAAGTTACTGACCATGACTGAGTGGCCTGTGTTGACCCTTTACCTATAGTGGTTAAAGAACTAGGCTGAATCTCTTACATTCTACTTTTAAAGGTATTTTGTGCTTGTCTGTTGTTTGTGGTGAGGTGGGGGTTGTTTTGCGTTTTCTTTATGGGTTTTTTTCCTGGTTTTTTTTTTTTTTACCTTTTTTTTAAAAAAAATTATACTTCTTAATGCGTTCGGTGCATTTTGGAGATTGTTGGGAATAAACTATTGTAAATATAACTTGCTTTGGCAGATACGAATCATTTGCGAGGTCGGTGATGGCCTTTCTACCTATCAGATGCATAAATGAGTAAACTGATATTGCATGTCACTGAAGGATTCATAATGCATATCATTGGGGGATTAGAATGCATATTACTTGTGGATTCATGATGCATGTCACTGGAGGATTCATATTACATGTCACTGGAGGATTCATATTACATGTCACTGGAGGATTCATATTACATGTCACTGGAGGATTCATATTACATGTCACTGGAGGATTCATATTACATGTCACTGGAGGATTCATATTACATGTCACTGGAGGATTCATATTACATGTCACTGGAGGATTCATATTACATGTCACTGGAGGATTCATATTACATGTCACTGGAGGATTCATATTACATGTCACTGGAGGATTCATATTACATGTCATTGAAGGAATCAGAATGGGTATCACTGAAAGATTCAGAATGTATGTCATTGAAGGAATCAGAATGGGTATCACTGAAAGATTCAGAATGTATGTCATTGAAGGAATCAGAATGGGTATCACTGAAAGATTCAGAATGTATGTCATTGAAGGAATCAGAATGGGTATCACTGAAAGATTCAGAATGTATGTCATTGAAGGAATCAGAATGGGTATCACTGAAAGATTCAGAATGTATGTCATTGAAGGAATCAGAATGGGTATCACTGAAAGATTCAGAATGTATGTCATTGAAGGAATCAGAATGGGTATCACTGAAAGATTCAGAATGTATGTCATTGAAGGAATCAGAATGGGTATCACTGAAAGATTCAGAATGTATGTCATTGAAGGAATCAGAATGGGTATCACTGAAAGATTCAGAATGTATGTCATTGAAGGAATCAGAATGGGTATCACTGAAAGATTCAGAATGTATGTCATTGAAGGAATCAGAATGGGTATCACTGAAAGATAGTAGGATTATTTTCATGACCCAGTTTTGCCAGACGTTGATAATTTAACGATTTGCATTTGAAATGTTAACTTTTTAAGAACGTAAATGTTGCATGCTGTACAGAGTTTTTGTTGTTGTGGGGCTTAACGCCATTGTTCAGCACACGATAGGCTATACATGGCGGCCAGTATTAATGGTGGAGAAAGAAACCGGGGAATCCGCGGAAAGAACCACCGACCCACTAGAAGCTACTGGCAAGCTTTCTCACATATCCACATTTGCCGAATCATAGACTGGAACTCACGCAGAGGTTAGATGGCAGTGATCCGTAACGGACAGCGCTTTAGACCAATCGGCCACTCGAAGCCCCAAATACTGAGTTTTTAAAATGTTTCATGTTAGTGTGTTTAAATATACATTTATGGAAATAAACTTGACATAACGTGTATTTTATCAATTTTGATAAGGAATACATGGCCTGCGACAGTAACTGATCATCGACTGCAACGTATCATCTTTGCGGTTGTCGCTTCTTTTCTTAACAGTTTAATGACCATGGTAATTATAATTATATTTTCGTCCTTTACCATAATAAATTACTTAAATCATAACACAAGTTCGACGCGCGAGGGCATTGCCAGTCTAATCTACGTGGGTTCTTGAAAATGAGTCGGAATTTTAGAATCGATATGAAACATACTTCCAAGTATTACAAAGGTGGGTTGTTTTTTTTTTTTTTCATTTCTTCTTAAAATCGTATTGTTTCGAATGAGATAAAATGTTACTTGCATAAAACGCAGCAATGATAGTCTAGAAATTTGCTGACCAATGAGCCTATTTGAATATATGATATTAACGGTTTGGTCTTTTTACAGAAGCGGGCTAATGAGGGGATATATTTTCTCCGTTAAAACTTGTATTAAAAAAGTTATATGTGCTAAAAAGGAAAAGATTTTACGAAAGCAGAAATTATTTAGTTACTTGTGACAATGTTTTCTCAGGTTGTATTTGTACCTAGATGTTGGGGAGGGGTCATTGTTTTCATTTATTCTTAATCTTGGTTGAAAATGAGATAGGAATGAAACCAACATTTTTTTTTTTCCGTCCCGTGCGGTGCCATGCTGCCAATTGTGTGGCGATATGCCGCAAGTCTCAACCCACTTACGGAATCCCGGGTGGTCTAAACTCACCGTTACGGATCACTGCCATCTCACCTCTGCACGGGTTCGAGTCTCGGGTTCGACCAATGTGAGTATGTGAGAAAGCCTGCCGGTAGCTTCTCGTGGGTCGGTGGTTCTTTTCGTGGTTTTCCTGGGGTTTTTCTCCACCATTTATATTGGCTGTCATGTATATTATAGCCAATCTTGTTCTGAAAAATGGCTTTAAACAACAACAACATCAACCCGCTCGCTCTCTCTAAAATAAGCGCTTTTGAGATGACCGCCATATGTGCACCTTGACCTGTACTCACGTGATTCGGTAGTGTTGAATGCGAATGTGTTGGAAACGGCGCTAGTTAGAATCGATATTGCTCTCTTAATAACTTCATTTAGTGATTTGTACATTAGAAGGAACTCGATTATTTTCATCCCAATTATATATATATATATATATATATATATATATATATATATATATATATATATATATATATATATATATATATATATATATGCGTAACGGCCTTTATACAAAAGTGGTCAGCTAACTATCGCATGCACTGTATATTATGTACACTCAGTGAATATTATGTACACTCACTGTATATTATGTACACGCACTGTATATTATGTACACTCACTGTATATTATGTACACGCACTGTATATTATGTACACTCACTGTATATTATGTACACTCACTGTATATTATGTACACTCGGTGAACATGCATATACAGATTAAATTTGGAGCATGTCCGTTGTTTTTAAACGTATGAGCATGGTGTGGGGAAAATCAGATTTTCAAGCGTTTTAATTTTGTGTTTGTGTAATACATTACAAAATCTATGTTTCTTGGTATATGTGTCAGATTTATCTTAAAACGGTGAGATTCCGTCATTTTGTTTTTCGTCTGCTTGTTCACGAAAGTTTTATAACTTGAATTCCAGAATACGTTATAAATAGGCACGGTACATCATTTTCGATTGGTAAACGAGAGGTCCATAGTCCGTTAAGGGCGATGCACCTACATGTCAGGTGGGCGCGTTTTTGGAGTG